TCCACTGTTGGCCGTTGTTGCCATAAGCAAACATATCATAAAGTACCTTTAAAAAAAGATTTTTTTTTTCAAAATTATTCATAGCACTTCAAGCTAAGCCATTTTAAGAAAAGAAAAACAGTCAAAAAATTTTTTTTACAGATTTATCCTAATGCGCGCGGTAAAGTGTTATACCTGGATGTTCTGCATCACAAGTACAACATACATAGTACAACATGTTTTTGGCATCATACTGCCCTGTAGCCTTCATTTTACCTAGAAACTGCTTAGCAATTTTACAAAATATGAATTCAAATGAGCTCGTCTTGGCTAGTGAGTAGTAGTAAAAGTGTAAGCCAGCAGTTTCTATAGGAAAATTCTTCATCACGTGTCACAGTTGAAAAGGAGTTGACAAGTTTCCTTAATCAATCAAATGTTCAGCTGATGTTTAAAAGTACAGACAAACAGATCATTAACACAGCTGGTTCATGTGGTATTTATGTCAGGGAAAAAATCCAAAGTGTGGGACAATTTCAAGAGAGATTAAAAAATTGTCCCCCAAAAAGGGATGCTCCTTTACTTGCCTACTTACACACTGTTCAAACATTAACTTACATCAATGTGTGCTTTCAATAGGCACAACCAGTGTTGATACAGTGTAAAACTCTATATGGTACCACCCTGGCTTGAGGTCCTTTGCTGATTCTTCCCCTCTCTTTGCTTCCCTCACTTCCCTATAATATCCACTGTCCTGTACATTAAAGGTGAAAACCCTGAAAACATTATTTTAAAATAAATAAAACATAATGCTATAAAGTTTGCTTGAGTGTTTTGGATCATTATGTAAGAAATATCTGATGGTCATTGAATTCAATAGACTGAAGTCAGTTTTCAACGTAGAGTGGATGTACCACAAATAAAGTCATTATTCAGATCAATACAATTGTCTGAATTGATTTTTGAACCTCACACCATTCCTGTGTGGAGTTAATTTCTTACATATATCTTACACAGTTCAATAAATCATTTTGACTAGTAGCATGAAACTGTATAGCAGTCAAGATCTGGCTGGAACATATTTAGCTGCATGTTTATCTGAATATAATTACTCACCTTAGAAAGAATGTTTATCAGCTAGTAAGAATCAATTATTCAACAGCCCTGTAGTAAAAAAATAATACAGCATTTAACAACAGTGTTACTGATGGCACATCAACGCTAGACACACTTTTTAACTTGACCTATACTCCAACAACAAAGCTTATTTCACTCATTAGATCATTAATGGAAACTCTAAGATCTTAAATGGATAGCTTGGATACACTGTAAAAAATAACGGGTGAAATATACGGTAAAATACCGGCAGCTGTGGTTGCCAGAAGTTCACCGTAAAATATAAGGTTGCAACGTGCAATGCTTTACAGAATACTTTTTGATGATCTGTAAATTTTACAGTTGAAAACTGCTGTATGTTTACAGTAAATTTCTGTTAAATAAAACAAATGTATTGTAAACATGTTTACAGTAAATTACTTTAAAAATAGCAGTCGTAAGTGTAAATTCCTTTACAGTAAACTACTGTGTATAATAAATATACTGTAAAACTAACTACATTCTATTTCCGTAATAAACATAAAACAACTGTATTAAATATAATAGTATTTTATTGTAAAGTTCAGTTTTACAGAAAATTACCGGCAGCTGTGGTTGCCAGAACTTTACCGTAAAAAACACGGTAAAACACAAAAGACATTACAGTTGTTTGCCACAGATTTTACAACAATCAATCAGGTTTTTGAATTGCAAAATGAACTAGTAAATACAGTCTATAGCAACTGAAGGCACAAACTATAATTATTAGATTTTAATGAAACTACATACAGGGACTGTGTTAAAACAGTTTGAGCTGATCCAATAACTTGACCAGTGTACTCACAAAGGCGTGTTGATGTTGGAAATAAAATGTGTCCATATATAAAAGTAAGGATAATCAATGAAGACATATACTGTACATCCATCAGGGCTGCTTGCTCTGGTTGAACAATAGTATTGAGCCCACACTTGACGGAAGACACAGGACTGTGTATGTTCCAAACTTGAAATGTAGTACTGCTTGAAGTCTTGCATGTAGTCACTATTTCAATATGGACTGGCATGATCTCTCTGCAGAAAACAGACACAAAGACAAGTTAGTTCAAGAGAAATATGCTTGAACTGAAATAAACTCAGTCTTCTTTTCTTTAATTGATTACCAATGAACTGCACACAAGCAACACCATAGAATTTTGTAGGCCACTTTAATAATAAATACAATAATTAATAATCAATATTAGGGCAAAAGATTGAAATAGACACATCTCAGCACTGAGCTATCATAAGTATTTGCTTCACTCTGTCAGCTTGGAGCCTAAATTCAACAATTCACACAATTTGTACTAAATCATCAGATAGGAGTCATCAGATACAATCCTAGTCATTCTTACAAAAAAATACAATAAAGTTTTCTAGGTTGAGTAATTGCTATAACTATAATAAAATAATTGTTTTTAAAAATATATATTTGTAGAAAAACTAGTTTAAATATAAAGTTGATAAAATATTTACATTGTGTGCCATTTTTGCTTTAAACTGCAATTAAAGATCTGTGTTGACAGTACATTTTTCAAAAGAGTATACAAACATCATTGTCTGCTATAAAGAGTCTTTTACTTTATCTTTTATCCCAAACCATTATTTTTAGTGTGTGGTCATAATTAAAGGGACAGTTGAACAAACAATGAAAATTTTGTCAATAATTACTCACCTTCATGTTGTTCTAAAACCTTAAGACTTCTGTCCATGTTCAGAACACAAATTATTATTATTTTTATTTAATCTAAGAGCTCTTTCTGATCCTCCCACAGATAGCAATGCTCCTTGTGTGAAGCAATGATAATACTTTTGGGAAACATTTTCAACAACACTTCTGATGTATAACATGGTACACTGGGAGCATTACCCAGTGTATATCATAACACCAGTTACATCATCATAACATTTTTATTTAACTACTGATTACATGTACTTATTAAGGGAGGATAAGAAAGTTCTTGGACTAAATATAAAATATATTTTAGTGTGTTTAAAAGATGAACAAAGGTCTTTCGTTTTTAGAACTACATGAACATAATAACAGAATTTTCTTTTTTAGATGAACCATTCCTTTAATGCATTATGCTAATATATTATTATAATCACAGTGTTGCAGGTATTGTTAATGCTGTTCTGTTGTCAACTATTGTTGTTTATTGATATAAAATTTGATGGTAAACACTATAATCTAAAGTTGTAAAATGATGTTAATAGACAAAAAAATCGATTAACTCGAGGAAATCATGTGGCAAAGTAAAAGTATTTATTAATATACTTTTTAGGGCGACATGGTAGCGCAGTGGGTAGCACGATCGCCTCACTGCAAGAAAGTCGCTGGTTTGAGTCCCGGCTGGGTCAGTTGGCATTTCTGTGTGGAGTTTGCATGTTCTCCCTACGTTCGCATGGGTTTCCTCCGGGTGCTCCGGTTTCCCCCACAGTCCAAACACATGCGGTATAGGTGAATTGGGTAAGCTAAATTGTCCGTAGTGTATGAGTGTGTATGGGTGTTTCCCAGTGACGGGTTGCAGCTGGAAGGGCATCCGCTGCGTAAAACATATGCTGGATAAGTTGGCGGTTCATTCCGCTGTGGCGACCCACAATAAAGGGATTAATATAGGGACTAAGTTAAAAAGAAAATGAATGAATAAATATACTTTTTACGCTTTGATTAATTCACATTTTAAAACATGAATTAAATAAATAGTTTTACAATTGTCTATTTATTTGTCCATTTAAATGGTAATTTATGTAAATTTTTATGCTTCAATTATTAAATTGATAATTTGCTTCTTCATTTTATTTCTGACCAGCACTCCTGCTCCTCTATATAAATACACCTACTGTAGCTAAAACATAAATGCACCATTTATTTAATTTGTGTATTTATACTGTGTATCTTTTTTTAATTACAAAAATGAAATGATGAAATAACAATTTTTATCACCCACGACTGCTTGAGTCTACCTAGCATTTGTTACACCATACTATAACACTGCTTACCATCAATTATCCTTAAGACTGGCGTCTGACTGGGTCCAGACTTGACTGAAGAGAGGTCTCTTACACACAGGATACAATGTTCAGAAAACCGGAACTTTTAGAAGGTCCTCTCTGTGAACAGGGGAAAAGAAACAAAAAAGGAACAATTCTAACATTAATAGTTATTAAATAAATATAACTAATTTTAGCATTTACACAATAGCTACAGTAAATATTGCTGCAGTTTCGAAATATTGAGCAGTTTGTGTTATTTCCAACTCAAAAGAATAATAATAATAATGTAAACAATGTACATAAATATAATACAATTTAGCTGAGATTTTCTTTACTCTTTTTTTTTTTTTAAACACAAACTTTACTAAGATGACAATGTGATGAATGTGTGGTAATATTGTTCTGTAAATGTGCAAGACAACTTTAGCAATATAATTTTTTATTATTTTTTAAAAGCTAGCATAAAATTAAGTTAAATATAAACTAAAATAAAATTACACTTCAGTTGAGATCAAGCATAAAAATCTGTTTTGAGATTGTAAATTAGGACAATCCACTGCTATACAAGGAAAGATTGGAAACACGTTTGGGTTGTAATAAAATACTCTTTTAATGAAAGGTAATTTTAGTTCTACAATTTTGTGATACCAACCGAGTAAGGTTAGTTGAGCAACTGACCAAACAGTAGCATGTATGATCTGACAAATTGATGCATGGCAGTTAATTTAAAAGCTTATAATTTATATGTACTCACTGAAGCTTAGAGCCTGGCCACACCCCGTTTCTGCAAAGTTGGAAGCACCGAATTGCTCATCTGTGTAAGGTAAAGCAAGAGTTAAATAGGTAATTAGTACTTTTAAATTGATGTTTAATAATCAACAAAACTTACCCAAATTTATACTTGAAAGGACTCTTATCCAAATAGAGACTTGTCAGGAAAAGAGAGTCCTTGTGTTCAAACTCTGGCAGACATAAGAAAATATATTGTCCTAAATAAGACAAAAATGTTTCAAGCATATCTTTCACTCTTTTAAAAGCAGTATGCACACTACATGTACTAAATAAATGGCTACATTTAGGGAAAAACAACAGCTGTGCTTCACAAGCCGCTCAACAAGTTCAACACAACACATACCGTTATTGCAGCAACCAAAGTTGCAATCCTGATCTCTTTCCATTGTTTCCTGATGAACTTTAGTGTTGCTGTTCAATAAAGTGGATACAACAAAAATGTCTCATTAAAAGTGAAATTTTTAAAAAAATAAACATTATTAAAAAAAAAGTATTAATTAACACTTTTTGTCCAGAAATGTGTTTCCTTGAAGTCATCATCTAGTGAAGGTTGAATGCAGTGCCTGAAATGTGTTAGAAGATAAAAGCTTTAATTTTACACAATATGCAATATTTAGCTTATAGAATGTGTTTACACATGCTGTTTTGTGTAAAAATAATTACATAAATATTCTCAAGTGTTTAGTTTACTTACTTTTACGTAGATTCTTAGATTTTAGCAATCCCACCAGTCATTAACTTAATCTGAAGTGTCACAATAATCACTGAAAAAAAGGTGTCTGGAAAGCATTTTCCAAAAGGTTTATTAAACTCCGCATGTAATCAGCCAAACACTCTGAACTCCTTGCTAGTACCAGAATATTTTGAAACAAAAAAAATAAATTAATAATAATTATAAATGCCAAAATCATAAGCATATAACACTATGTGCAGGGAGTATAATGAATTTGTTTTGTAACATCTTTAGAAAAATAAATTTAGTATATAAATTTGCTCTTTCCCTCAATGAAAACTAGAAAAAAAATGGAACAAATGCAGCCTTTAACAAAAATGTCTGTTACATTGTACTTTTAACAAAATCTGGAATAAGCCAGTTTACCAATTAAACAAAAACAATGCTCAATAAAACATTATCATTAACCCAAATACTAAAAGCGTACTTTCTTTGTTGGTGGTTAACAGATAAGGTAAACTGAAAACTCAATTAGTGGTGTATACGTGTTGTGTTAACACTTCAAATGATGTGAACTGAAAGTCCATATTTAACATGCCTCTCTCCACTCATGATCTGAGAGATCTGCAATGAGTGTGAGGACTCTTGGATTCACTGTTAGCTGTTTCTTGTTTTTCTTAGTTTCCACTTTTGTGCCCTTCTCAGGATTGATGTTGAAGAAACACCTTTATGAATGCAAGAATTCAAAATTAACCACTAGATTAAGTGATTTGTTTAAAATAAATAAATAAATAAAATTATTTACCTCTGAATAAACTCAAGTGTGGAGCCCAGACCCACAGGATAGTGAATGTTGAGGCAGTAGTAGGTTGCAAACATCATGCAAACAGCCGAGATGAAGGTGGAGATGTATTCGTTGACAATTTTCTGGTCAACACTCAGCATGAAATGCTTTGCAGCATAACATGATGTTCCTGCAAGAAAACATAGTTAGAAAATAACTATTACACATGTATTACACATGAGCTCTGACTCCTTCAAAAAAACAGATCAACTTACCGCATACAATGATGCATGGAGTCACAGGTAAGCCTTCCACTTGTACTTCTTTTGCCATACAAGTTTCTTCCACATAGAAGAACAAGTCCTCCTCTTTTTCATTAAAGTAGGAGAGGATGAGGAGCACCAGATCTTTTACATCTTCTGAGCAGCCCTCCAGCTGTCCTCTCAGAATTTTCAGCTTTGTGGCCGCTTGCAAAACATGTTTGCTTTTTTCTGCACAAACACTTCTCATGAAATCTAAAACACGTTTTCCTTTTTTTTCAACATTACTGAGGAAAGTCTCTTTCAGGGAAACACCAGTTAATTCATGAAAGTGAACTGCCATGCCAACTTCCTTGAATAAGAAAGGCCACTCTTGCATGAGGAATTGCAGATCGGTTCCACTGTTCACTGATTTACGCTGGGAGAAGTATGTGCACTTCATGAGATGTTTTACCTCCTCTGTGTTGAAGGTTGCCTGTTCAAATATCACTTTCATTTTCTCTTTTTTCTCTTCTTGGCTTTCCAGTGTCTCACTCACTGGCATAAACTTCATTTCCCACTTTATGCAGCCATATGTGTCCTGAACAGCTGCCCTCTGTTCAGCTGTGATTTCATCTGGGTCAAATTCATCTGACCCCCGTCTGCGCTTTAATATTCTTGGTACTGAAGACCGCTTTACATTTTCAATTCGTGCTTGCAGCTGCTTGACGAGTGAGTGATATCCTGTTCCTACCACATCACCTTCTATAACATCTTGCAGTGACAGTGGATACTTTGCTACCATTTTCTTCGCAACCTCTGTGGAGGATTGTTTACCAGGAGAAGAAGAGGCATGCATCATTTCAGCAACTACAATTCGGATCATTTCTCTGCGTAACTTTGAGCTTGGCCTTTTCCCTCTCTCCAAACTCTGCATTAAGGCTTCTGGGAGCTTCTCCCATGGAATCTGGAAGCTGTCGACCCAATCTGCAGTAGCAATCATGTGTCTGGGTGATGGTGAGGGTGAGGGTGAGGAAGACAGTGAGACTGAGGAGCACGCTGAGGACACTTGAGAGGTCAATGTTGACTGACTATGGAATTCAGTTGTCTCTGCTGTAAAATAAATTGAAATTTAAATGTACAGAATGAAATTTGTTTTTTTATCTTAACTTACAAGTAAATGTAACTTTCTGCATAATGTACTTACTGGATTGTTTCCATGCAGCCAACAGTTTTCTAGCTTGAACTGGTCTCAGTACTGTGAGCAGATCAGCTTCCTTAATATACTGTAAATCTTCAGTGGCTCCCACACCTAAAGATTGTAATGTCTCCAATACAATATTTAGATTTGAGGTTGGTAGGTCTGGTAACACATTAGTAATGGCACTGCTTATGTTGCTTGGCTCTACGTCATCCATTCTGAGTAAAAAAATGTAAAAAGACAAAAAGAAAAAAAAAACTTTCAATTTTGACAGCACAAGACATAATTAGTGTGACAAAACACTGTGTTTCAATGGAACCAGTCGTTGTCCATCTTTCATGTAAGCAGCCAATGGATAGAAATCAATCATGTCACAGATGTTAAAACACTGGATCATTTCATTGTCTTTCCTCACTGAGTACACATGGTACTGAGGAAGGAATTCTGCTGTGTACATTGACACCAAAAGATAAACGGTGTTGTTTTTTACCAAAATGAGCACAAGTTCACCAAATTCCACCAAGTCAGTATACCCTGTGACAAGGAACTGTCCTTTCTTGTAGGCTGTTCCTTTATAAACCATTTCTACTGTGACAGCTGTGTTGGTATCAGTGAAACCATATTGTCTGACTGCATCCTGAATGCCTTTACTGTACAGTGTTGAGTAGAATGGAGAACCACCTTTAATTTGCAAAACAGCCTGTCTATTGGAGCCTGCTGATAAATAAGCCTGCAACATCTGATGTCTGTTAGACAAAGTGAGACCAAGGTTTTTGAAATTCCTCAAATTTCTTGCACATCTTTTGAAATAGCTATGCTTGCTTTCGAAACGCATTGTCCACAATCTAATCAAGGGGCCAAATTTCAGAGTCAGTGCTGGATAATGGCGTAAGTAATGATGCTTAGGTCTCAGCTTAGTTTCGGGGAATATAGATGTTCTGGATTCTAAATACTCTTCAATAAGGACTTCAAGATATGCAATTTGAGGAACAGAGATTTTCTGAGCACATACCATGTCCACAATGTCTTTCAGCTGCAGAGTCAGCTGCCACACATCATCTGCTGCATCTTTCACTTGATCACCAATTATGAGAGGCATCAGTCTTAAAAAATTCCAGTTCTGTATTGCATTTCCAGTGAGCTTACCTGCTTGAGGGTTGACCTCACATGGCTTAGCAGCAGCATCTGAGGCACAGTATTTGAACTGTTTAATACGCCTGTTCAATGTAGAGTATGTGAACCATTTTTTTTTTTTTTATGAAGTATTTCAGATACAGTGCCACATCATATGACAAAACACCCTCAAATATGTCGTGTCCCACACAAGGTGGCAGACCAGGCTGACACACATTAAAGTATTTCAAAGTATTGAATTCTGACCTGAATTTTACTCCTTCCACGTCTTGTGCTCCTTCTGCTTGGATGCGGTCAATTGCTGAGTTATAGTTTTGAATTGTCCGGGCTGGTCCACACAGATTTGGATCACCCTGAAATTCAGATCGAGTAATTAGACAATATCTACAGAAATGTTCTGCACGGCTGAAATTTTCAGAGAACCCACCAATGCAGTGGGATCCTAAATTATCGCCGGCAATGCAATAGACCGTTCCTTTTACTACGGTTTCATCTGAAACAGGAATTCCATTCTCCTCCAAATACTTTAAGTCTGCTAGTAAATTAGAGAACACCTTAGCATGCCCAAATTCTTTAAAATCTTTTTCTCTGCACAATAAAACAAGTGACATGTGGTTTGTGTCTGACCTTACATGAAGTGGCAAATTAGCTACAGATAAATAAACAGCTAATATTTTATGTCTTGTCTTTGCAGAGCCTAAAGGATTAACAACTTCAAATGCATCCTGATACAGTACTAGTTTTAGGCCTGATGGATTCTGAACAAAAAATTCATTTGATTTGAACATCTGGCCATCAGTAACATCAGTTAAAACATCTGTGGGTGTGTCAGTGGGGTGCTCCTCAGACATACAATCCTGCCACATATCAGACTGCAATAAGCATTTTAAAGTCTCTTTGACTGGCACATAATAGGCAAACCTATCTTTTCTGTTCTCATCCCTTCCTAACAAAACAGTCTTAGGCTCCACATAATTGAAATTTTTTTTGAAACACTGAGCTCTTGTGTGTGCAGTCCTCATTGGCCCTGTATGACATGCAGAAAACAGATCAGATTCCTTGACAGACTGACAAATTTTGGTGATCTCATCTTCTGTTAAGGATGTTTCATTCTTTAGCTGTGAAGCAAGTTTACTTAAAGTATATGTCTGACCCAACTCGTGTATATTTTGAATCTCCTCAACAATGTTCTGTGTGGTTGAATCAGGCACTAAGAGCTGCCCTTGCAGTTTTAAGTAAAATAAACAAATATTTTTAAGAAAAAGATCGTTGAAATCGTCGGATGTATCTACATCACATTCAAATTCATGGCCACAGTCATGTGACGTTAATTCGGTTGTTACAGATTGTGAAGATGACTGATAAGCCGACGAGTCTCTGTACAAGTCACTAATTGTGCTTTCTGTGAAATGTTTGTGTTTCCGTGACATGTGGGAGGTAAAGGAAGATTTAACTTTAAAAGCATCTGTGCATCCTCTTACTGGACAACTCACAACACGTCCTTCTACAATGTGGTCTTTCAAGTGTGCTATTAGAGATTTAGCATCTTCACACTGTCGATCACATAACGCCATTGCACATTTAATAGGCATAACATCTGTCCCGACAGCAACGTTAACAGGCGCATTTACGTTATGTTTTCTGTAAAAATGAGCCTTAAGCGATGCATATGTACAGAAAGTCTGTTTGCATTCGGCTGCAAAGCACTTAAATAAACGCGGTTCATTTCGGTGAAGTTTGCAATGTATTACATAAGCCCTCAATGATTTGACTGACTTGCCACAGAAATTGCAACTCAACATCGCTAATACTGATTCTGTAAAAATGTACTTTTAGTGTAGAACCGTGTTGTCAAACAGACTTACCTCGTTAGCAGGGAGTTAGCAGGTGCCAAAGGTTTGCACTAAGCATCACAAGTTGAAGAGCGGGCGCGCTAAATCGGCGGCTGAAATATAAAATGTCGACAGTTCACTTTAGCTCATTGGGCGGTGCTATTCCGCCATTTTAAACGGTGTGCGCGCTCATTTTTCGCCAACTGAAATATAAAATAACGTTGACAGTTCACCTTCGTTTACTGAGTGGTGCTATTACTACATTTAAATATGCACTTTGAATAGTATAAATGTTCGTAATTTATACTCAAGTTAACAAGTAATTGTTAAATAAATACACTTTGCGTCAGACAAAAAGTCTTCCCCCAACTTCACAATTTGCAAGTTACCCTATGAAAAAATTTAAAATAGGCATTGGACTCACCACTTGCATTGCATGCAGATCGTGATTTTTTTTTTCTCTGCATGTGTGTTCATGTTTTTTACAGAATTTTTAAAACATGCTGTTTAATAATAAATAATCAATAATAAAACACATTTCATAATTAAAAACACTTTCATAATTGTCTTCATAATTCATCTTTTATTTTTGCTCATTCTAGCATCTTTTATTTCAACCTTTTATTTCAGCCTTTAACCTATATAGTTGTGATTAAATACAAAGTAATATGAAAAATCTAATATTTTTACAACATGATTACATAGTGGGCAACACGGTGACGCAGTGGGTAGTGCTCACAGCAAGAAGGTCACTGGTTCGAGCCCCGACTGGGCCAGTTGGCGTTTCTGTGTGTAGTTTGCATGTTCTCCCCGTGTTCACGTGGGTTTCCTCCGGGTGCTCCAGTTTCCCCCACAGTCCAAAGACAAGCAGTAGTGTATGTGTGTGAATGAGTGTGTATGGATGGACCCAGTAATGGGTTGCAGTTGGAAGGGCATCCGCTGTGTAAAACATATGTTGGATAAATTGGCGGTTCATTCGGCTGTGGTGACCCCTGATGAATAAGGGACTAAGCCGAAAAGAAAATGAACGAATGAATGATTACATAAAGGTCGATATATTTGTATTTTTACAATTATATCTTGAATTTGTTTTTCATTGCCTTTAGCAATTAAATCTCAGATTTGATCCATAGGGCCTATTTAATGAACAATACACAAAAGTACAGTAAATGACAGAATATTATAACATTTTACATTAAAGACTCAAATAAAACAGCATATGCTGGTGATGTAGCCTATGTTTTGATGCCCGTATTCTGGTTTCAATGTAATATCTTGGCCCTGACCACCATTGAGACCAGCAAGACCAGCATTGAAACCAGCATACCTTACCAGCATATGCTGTTTTTTGTTTTTGTTTTTCAACAAAGTGGATGGTTTGACCAAAAAAAAAAATAAATATGTCATTAATCATTTTCGGAACAGAAATTAAAATACTTTGGATTTTAACATTGTAATTTGTGGCGTAAGAACCCTTGCTGTCTATGGGAGGAACTACGATTAAATCCAAAATATATTAATTTGTGTTCTGAAAATGAACAAAGGTCTTACGGGTTTGGATTTTTTTCTTTTTGAGTGAACTATCCCTTTTATTTGACTAACATATACCATTCTTTTAACCTCTTGTTACTGTAGAATTTAAAGTAAGTTTCTGTTGAATTTTTGAAGGTTTTATATTGTAAATTTTATAGTACACATCAACAAAATGTGTTTTTACACAGAATTATACTGTTGATTTTAGGGTAATTACTTGCTTGAGAAGTTACGGTATTTTTTTATTTATTTCACCAAAAAAATATATTTTTACTGTAAAAAGTTGTATTTATTACATATTAAAAGAGTAAAAATTAAAGTTATGTACTCTTTCTTAAATTACGGTGATTTAATGTATGTAATACAGTCATATACTATTTTGGTTTAAATAGTCTTTTACTGTTGCTGCTTTACAGTTTTTTACTGTAGTTTTCACTGACATTTTTTACAGTGTAGGAGAGATATGTGTATTGCAGGGCTGATATGCAATGTTTGTCATTGTGTAGTCTTCAACGGATGTGATAATGTCAGCAGAGCTGTGTCGTGGTAGGGCAGAATAACATTTCCTACAGCATCGGTTCCCTTATGAAACTGCCCAGCTCAATAACAGAAATGTGTCCCTCTTTCCTCTCTTCAATGTAACAGCACAAGCTTTCAGCACGTTTCCCACCCTCTCTCCTCCTCCCAGACATGCTGAAATCTCACTCCATTAGTCACATCCATTACTTCTGTTTCCTTCCCTGTCTTCTGTACTCGGCTCATTTTTCTTTTAGGAATGGAGGAGACTAACATGTGCTTTCCTCATTCTGTCTCCTTCATCTCAGCCTGGTGTGGTTATGAATTTAGGACTATAATCACCATTGAGCCCTTGTGTGAAATATACCTGCACCTGTCCTGGTGGCTGCCCTGTCTGTGTGCTCACCGAGCTGCATGTGTGTTGCATGATGTAAATCGATGCAATAACTTGATGTGATTAACCTCCTTATGCTAGTCTCTATGCTAGAGTTCTACTCTGGCCTACTGACTGAATATGAATCAGTTTTAGTATTAGATAGCCCAGCTTTAAATATAATAATTCTCATATGAAAACCCACAAAATTATAAGAATTATAATTTTAATTAAAATTTTATCTTATAATTATATTATAAGATTATTAGAAATTAATAGTTTCTTAAAGGTGCTGTATGTACATTTTTGACTCTTCTAAAGCATATAAACACAATGTTTGCAGATATTTAAGAAACACGCCAAGTGAACATTCTGAAAAACAATGCTGAAGTCAAATATTCTGCTTTGAAAATGTATTTTCCGTGTCAGAACGTCTGTCATTGTTTTGGTAATTTTAATCTGCTGTGACAAAGGATGCTGTCACTAGCCTGCGGCAAAACGGCATATAAACTTTTCCTCACACACAGCCATTAAAACCCCACACTCCATACTCACCGTCAGCCGATCACAGGGTGCACACTGTGAATTGTCGGGGACAATTAAGTTAAAGGGGTTTATAAAAACCATAAAATATAAAAAATAATTAGTTATGGTGTAAAGCTTTATAGTATGCAAATGGAGTGTACATATATCAAAATGTTGATCAAGGAAGTGTTTATGGATATATTTACCTGATGCTTACCTCCTGTGACGGTATGAGCTATTCCATACCAGTCTCCCCTGCTATTAAAAGGCCAGGGTAAGCACATATGTGGTGGGGTGCAGGAGTAAGGTTGTGGAGTTGTGAAGCAGTAGGTTAATCTGATTCCTTTATTTGTAGAAATAAAACATTAGCCAAGTGTTACTTGTCTTGTAAATATGTTTTTGTTTTGTTTTGCTGGCTAGTGGCTATTACTTTTAGGAGGATTTTTTTTTTCACTGAGCACAGGGAAAAGCACTTTGCACCACAGTGCTATTTCAACTGTGCTATTTTTTTACTTTTTCTTTTTTATTTTTTGAAGATTTGGGACCTTAAAAAAATGGTCTCCGTGACACCTGCCCAATGCCACTTTAGCCAATTATTTTTCAGCACCTTGGCTTGCCTTGATGGAAAATCGCGTATTTCATTTATTTATTTATTTAGAAATGCTCTCAAAGCATGCACCTTTGACTGAAATGCAACCTTCAGTGGACAGGTGACAGATTCAGAGTTCCATATGAGATTATTAATTAGCAAATGATATAAATATAATGAACGCAAACATTAGGTGAGCAGGCAGGCACGTGCACACATAGGCCTCAACCTGTGCAGAGCACATGCCCTTTTTAGTCTTGGATAGAAAGTGCCCTTCCAAAATGATCAAAAGTGCCCCCGCGACGCGGCACACCTTCGGTCCCGCCCTTCAGTAGGCGCGCTACAACACCGCTCCTGAGTACGCGTGCGACAACACAGCTGATCAGTACGCGCGTGACAACACAGCTGATCAGTACGCGCGTAATAACACCGCTCTTCAGTATGCGCGCATCCACTCTGCAGATCTGCAGCACCCCCCCCCCCCCCTTCAAAAAATGTATCCTGCACATGCCCTTTGGACGGTCTCTGCACGGGCCTGTGAGCAGGTACATTAAAGCCACGTGGTTTATTTATTTTCAAGATCTAAGGTGAACTAGCTGCTGCTGCTTTCAGTATATGGCAATACATGTCATGTAAATGGCATTCAAACTCACATTGTTAGAATTTAACACTGAATAAAGCACATGAGGTGTACCTGAGGTGATCATTGTCAGTTTTCTGTTGTTCACCTGTGAGAAATAAAAGTCTTTTCTAATATATCAATTGGAGGACTTGGTTAGAACAAAACCTCCCTTTAAAATGAAAAATATTCTGTCTATCGGGTGTCGTTGCTTTTATTTAGAACACGGTTTAAATCACTCACCCCCCTCCTTGCTTTTGTTTTAATCCAGGAGTGCAATATCTAGTTACCACTGGGATTCAAACTTACATACTGCACTTTTCATTTTCACTCGTTTATTTACAAGGAATCAAAAGATTTAATTGTATAACTAGTGAGATTTGTTTCTTTATAAAATGGTTTGTGTGTAAGATGTTGTTATTGTTTTATTGTTGTTCTTTTATTGTTATTATTGTTTAAACAATTTACCTTAAACTTCTAAGGATAATTCTTGTTAGATAAGTGCCTAAAACAAGAAATAAATGTAATAGGATAAAAGAAAAATTTCAATGAGAGCAAAATTTCCACAAGCACATTTTTAACGTGTTTAAGTTGTTGACACAAATTAATGCACTGATAAACAGATAGTGGCTTGGTATGGCAATCATTTCTGTAAATGCTGTACTGATTGTAATATATTTGTACTAATTTTACTGTACTTAAAGTGAGTTTTTGCTGTGGTTAGTCGTCGCATGAGAGGGCTGATGAACATTTTTTAGCCTTGACACGTTTCCTCAGTCATCAATTTTTCTGATATGATCTTGCAGAGCAATTCCATTCCCAACAATACAAGTAGAAATATAGGGACTAGTTTTCTCAAGTCTGATAGAAATGACTATCATAAAACCTGTTTAAGAGGAGGATTTAAAGGTCTGAATAGCCTTGGTGGTGTAGAGGAATCTGAGAAGAGCTCCTGACCAGTAAATG